TGCCTTAAATACTATATGTTATCCATCTCATATGCTTGCACAGTAAGCCCATAATGGTGATCTGATATCTGTCACTTGTGTGGGTGATCAGTAAAGAAATAATGACTACGTTTGTTGCATATAGTAATGTTATAAATGAGAAAATGGCATTTTAATGGAAAAGAAACTGATGGGTACCCATGCTGATTTTGGCTATCATCAGAATGGTCTGTTGTGCTCTGTACTTGTATTCTTGTCTTGATTCATCTTCCATATTGATACACTCAACTACCTATTACTCTAACAGTGGCTTGGCTGAAGAATGAATGTCTGAGCTATCTATTTTAGGAATTATTTAAGGACCTGCTCCTTTTTTATCATTCTTCTGAACTTCAAACTGGTCATGCTGCTTTCCTAAAGAATGAAAGTTGTGTATCACTTATGGACCAGTTTAATAAATAGCTGATTAATTGCATGTGTACCAGAAGAGACGATCTTTATCTTACTTTCCTTTAGTTGTTTTTCTTCATTAGTGCTTATAGCTGTACTTTCTTCCCTGTCCCTGCTTTTTTTTTCTTTAGTGCCTTTTATTTCTTCTGTTCTTCCTGTAGGCAGTCTCTGTTTTAAAAAATAAATAAGTGCAACTGGTCTCACTTAAGCAAGCTCCTTTCATGTCATTTCAGGCATCACTGAAAGATGCTGTCTGTCTCATTATTTATTCAAGCATCTGAAGACACTTCTGAAAAATGAATAAATTATTCTGTCATCATTGTTTTAGGAAAACTTTAAAAAACACTAAAATAAATTAATTGGGAAGCCATTAGGAATAACCAAGCTTCGTTTAACATAGCTGTGATAGCTTCAGGACATGATTCCCTACAAAGGCTTTGGAATTCCTTGTGGATATTGCTGCCAAAATTTATTATTGTAAAAGCAATGCAGTCAGCTACAGTGATTGTACAGCTAAATGTTTTAGGAGCCATTTGGCAGAAATGCATGCTCCGAGGTAAAGCTGAATATTTGCAACCAAGTATCAAACAAAAGGTTGTTGAATGGGCTGAATATTGTCTAATATGAAAGAAACAAAGATAAGGTAGGAGGAAGTTAGTTGTTTATTGGAAGTTGGACCAAATGTTAGGTTTCTTTGTATTATTTATACCAGTATTTTGAACAGTTGTGCTGAAAGCTTTATTTCAAATATTATGGATATAACTAAAATGGAAAGAACATCAAATATTGAACAACACAGCCTTGGGAAGATAATTTTAACTACCTGAGCTGATAGATAGCATTTGAGGCTAAGATTAAAAAAAGACAAATCACAAGTGAGACAGTCATTGACCATTTTAGCTTGGAAGCTGAGAGGTAGATGCACTTGGAGATGATTGCTCCTGTGTTACATTCATTACATGGGATGAGAACTTCCTTTCCAAATGTCTTACAAGAATCTTATCTTTTAGCCCATTTTCTTAAGGTAGCCATGTTGTCCTTCACCAATGCCAAATCTCTTTGAGGTAAGACACAAGGACATTGTTTAGGCTCAAAATTAGTACTTTTAACTGATTAAACTGAGTCTTCTACTTGTAATGGTTATTAATTCTCTGTATGGATTTGACACACTTTAATATATTTTCAAATTGGAAAAAAAATCTGGCTGAAAGCTTAATTATTTTTAGAAGACAAAATGTTTGTTTCTGTGTGTATATATTCAGTAATAATAACATAGGGAATTTTTAAAGTAAATCCTTTAATAATATTAATTAGTCCTGGAAACAATGGAAATTCTATACAGATTATTTGCAAAAATGATTACGTTTTAATAGTTTTCCAATATGACTTGGGTGGGCAATACAGAACTGGGATATACGACAGAGGTTGCTGTCATGGTCTCACTTGTGACATACAGAACCTGAGAAAGTTACTGAAAAGGAAGGCACTGTCACAGAAATAAAACACATCCAACCTGTAGGGTACACACTGGTGATTTTGCTGTATAACCCGTAGTACAGATATTCTTGATCCAGTTAGGGACCCATGTCTGAGGAGATTCAGGTGAAGTTTAAGGTAAGCATCCTTCATGTTTAGGGTTCCTCAGTCTGATACTTGTTGTGACAGTCCTGGTTTTTGCTGTGTGTGTGTCTGGTCTCTGCAGTAGGTATAGAGCAGAGTACCTCTGTGTTGTCTGGATCTAACTTCTGAATTGAGGTTTTTCAGGAATTGTTTAAACTCTTGTAGTCCACTTTATAAATAGTGCTTAAGGCCAAAATAATCCACAATAGCTAATGTCTCTGTTACAAAATGTGTCACCATTTTGCCACTCTGATCTAACTGGATCTGCTCTGGCCAGGCGATGGGACTGGGTGTTCTCTGGAGGTTCCTGCCAATCTAGGTAATTCAGAGATTGTAAATTAACTATGGTCCTGCATTTTCTACCTCAGCGGGATGCTATTCTGAAGCTCAGTTTTTAAAACCATTTTCAAACCTTGCAGCACCATCAGAAGAACTGTAAACTGATATGATGGCCTGTATGCTTTATGCGAGGGTCATTTGCTTTCTGAATTAAATATGAATAATCACCGTTTCAAATGTCAAGATATCATTCTGCTAGAGAATATATCAGTAGTTGGCTGAAGTACTTCAGAAAAACTTTCACTCCCTGTTAGCAGTTAAATTTCTGTTCCTCTCAGTCTTTGTATCGAAATGGAGGACTAGGAGGAGCATTCTGACATGCAGTCCTACTGGCTGAGGCAAAATAGAGTAAACAATTTAGAGTTAATAACCTAACTCTTTAAAATGTCTCCTTATGAGAAAAGAGTTTCTCTTCAAATTCAGCCAGGAATTATTTCATGTTGTCAGGCCAGTCTTATTTTCAGGCTTTCAGTTTTCAGATATATTACCCCAAGGATCCAAAATGAGTTTTGTATTTTATTGAATTATCATATGATACACATCATTGTTTAAAAAAATTAATACTGCAGATACCTCTTTTGTGAAACACAATTACAATCCCAGCAGAACCTGTGAGTTAAGATATAACTATTATAAAAGCAAACCAATTTGGAGGGAAATCAAAATCAATTAGTACAGTGAAAAATTTTTCTGGATTTATATTCAGCAATTGTTACTGCTGATATGTTGTAGTAACTGAGACACATGAGTATTTTGAAGAAAATTCTGAGTATGTTTTTCAGAAATAATATGGAAACTTTACTGGTTTAGAAATGCATACAAAATTAGGAAAACTGGGAAAAGCAGAAAAGGTGTTTCAGGATTTAAAATGGGCTGAATAACAGTAATGCTGAAAAGATCTTATGAAGGAAGTAAAAAGTAATATAAATAGTGATATAAACAAGGAACGGTGACTCAGGAATTGTTAATCCTTTTCTGAAGCGATTTAGAAGAATGAAAGGTGTAGTAAAATCCAAATTAGGAAAAGTGAATTATTTCTTAAAAAATTTTGATTAAATAAATTAGATTAATCTTAGTAAAATTTTTGAACTTAAGTAAGGATTCAGACTTTTATTTGTAGAATAAAGCCAACTGAATGTATCATAGGTAATGTAAACAACAAGTTTGGCCCATCTGCAAGAGCTGCAAGGCAGATTGGGTTCCTGATGATTATTTGGCTGAGCAGTAGTGTAAGCTCAAGACAAGGGAAGGGCATGCTGTTATGTTGACCTTGGCATGAAGCACCATGGCAAATTTCTTGCAATAACCATTTTGAAATGGGGAACCTAAATGAACTCGTTAGTCTTACTGAAATGAGTGTAAGAATTCCTGTCCTACAGGATAAAGATGTTTCTCAGCTCTTGTCTCCCTAAGTGGTGCCAAGCACACTGAAATGCTCAAATCTCCACATTGTTCTTGTGTATTGTTCATTCAGCAGCTCTGCTCATCCTGGTGTTGTATGCACCATAGCTATCAGTGAATTGTGTAAAAGTTTGAATGAGAAATAAAAGAATGTCATTTTCCCATGGTGTCAACTGGATTGAATGACAAGAAAATCAAAAGTTAATTCTCCTATAAACAATCACTTAAATTAGTTTTCATATTATACCAGCTTACTCAGTGAAGAACTTGTTATTGTTTTCATATTCTGTATCAGTCTAATTTTTTCCCACTAAAAATGTATTTTAAACATATATTTGAATGAAGGCTGTACAGTGGGTCAAAGGCAAAATCAGGAACAAGAAGTCATGCAGACCCATGCTGTCACCAACTGCCAACATATGCTTTTAGAAATGGCATTTTACTGGGAGTTCAGATGTGAGGATTTCCTTCTCATTGTCAAGAGAGCTTTGAACAATTCCTCCCTTTCTCCAAAGAAAATGTTGACAATAGAATCTTTGATCTTCCAGAACTAATGCACATGATAAATTTAATTCATGTAAATAATTCTGCTAGACTCAGTAGGACCTATCACAAAATTAAACGCACGTAACTGTCTCTCGACTAAAGACCGTGCACGTGGTAGGTATAGTGGCATAGTCCAAAAGTTCACTTAGATAAAATTATCTGTCTTTCAAAAGATGTAATGAAAATGCTGTCTTATCAAAAGATCATGTGTTAGATTTTTTTAGATTATATTTGGAAAAGCTATCTGTACTCAAGTTCAAAACTTTTAAAAGCAAGATTTATCTAGACAGTTTAATGATATAAATACATGTATATGTTGTAGTAAAATATTAATGATTCAGCACATTTTTATATTCTCAGCAGTTCGGTATTCTGTGATTTCAGGAAATAGCACTGCATAATTTTATTCTACATGCTGTTTATATTGTCAAGCCTTTTTCTACAATCATCCATGAATAACATAAATTTTCCAGGTTCTGACTTTATTGAATACAATTGATTAAACTTTGAGCATAGAATCCTGTATGGGTCTTCACTGATCTTCAAGTTTTTTGTGGAAAAAAAAAAAAAAAGTTTTACTTAAGCAGATCATCTAGTTCAGAAATTTGCTGGTGCTTGACAAGAGCCATAAAATAGACAACCCCATTTCTTTTCTGAGTACTTACATTCCTGTTAGTAATGCTTTGATTCCTGCTGCTTCTTGTCCTTTCCACTTAATGAGTATCACCCTGTAGTGGAGGGGACTTGTTTCAAAATCTGGGATCTATTTAGCTCCCTCACTGTTAAGAAATCATATTAAGATTTCTATTTGAGAGTGACCTTGGTGCTTCCTTTTGTTAATACATTAATACCACTGAACCCATATTAGGGTAAAAATGAATCACAGAATCATCTAGGTTGGAAAAGACCTTGAAGATCATCCAGTCCAACCATTAACCTAAAACTGACTGTTCTCAACTACACCATATCCCTAAGTGCTATGTCAACTCTGCTCTTAAACCCCTCCAGGGATGGGGACTCCACCACCTCCCTGGGCAGCCCATTCCAACACCCAACAACCCCTTCTGGAAAGAAATGCTTCCTAATATCCAGTCTAAACCTGAATTGTGTGTTCTGTTAGTGATGATAATATTTTGGTTTACTGTTTGAATTGTGATGTTGCTTACACAGAAATGCTCTTGAATATGATTTTAGTTAATTAAATCGGTTGGTGTGATGATTTATGCAAGAACTCTCTGGCTTTGTTATTTTGAATGTGACCTAGCAGTCTCTTATACCACCCAAGAGGACTATTAATGAAAAGCCACTAGTATGAACACTGAAGCAACAAAAATGTGTTTTGCCTTATACTTTGAATTACTAAGAGTGAGGCTACTGAACAGTGATTTTCCACAAAAGCAGTATTGTGTTTCCATAACACGAGTGGTCAGCTACATTTTCTCCTACATTCCATTAAATGTATGATAGACTATTAGTGGGTTTTTGCACTTTTGGAAGGACTTTCATTTAAATAAATGATTACCTACAAGGAAATTTCTAAGTGCTTATAGTTTCATTGTTTCTTTTGATATCATCAAATAGTGCCAAGATCCCTTAAGTATCTGTTCTGCTGGTACTGTTCTAATTAGAAGGATAATTAATACACTGTTACTGTTTCTGTAGCTATTTGGGTTTTTCAGTACATGTAACACACTGTCTACAATGGAGGGTAATTTTGGACTATTTTTCTGTTATCACTAATGCTTGGGATTGGTTATGCTGCAAGTGAATAGGTTTAACAAAAGCTGATACATACTGAAGATAATGGTAAAACCAGCTGGAATTAGAGCTACTAAATGACTAGGTTTTATTACTTTCTTCAGGATTTTTGTATGATTCCTTTTAAGAATGCTGACAAAACACTTTGTTTAGATTGAAAAGACAGTACAATGGCCCCCAATCTCCTTCGGGCAGAGAGGTGTCACTTGAGACCATTATATACATCTTTAGTATTCTGATAACTTATGTTTATGCTTTTTAAAATTTTGATGTTCTCAGAGTATCAGGTGCTATGAATTACTATACACAAATGAATCGATAAGTATTTCTCATATCAAGCTGGTTATCAAACTATGTAGGTGTCTGCCTTACCCTATTCATCTAGTGAGCTGTCAATACTGTTTTCAGTCATTTTGCTCTCTTCACTTGTCAATCAATTTTAATTTTTCTGACTTCTTTCCAGTTTATCTGTATGGTTCTGATATTACCTGTTGAAGCTCTAGGTAATAGCTCAGCTGTGCTCTTCAGTAAGGAGGTAAAAATCAAAAGTGCAACCTGTATTTTATAGCTTTATATGTCTCTATATACGTAGGCTTCCATGTAAAATGATTAACTACTATTAATACTTAAATTTTTATTTTAAAATAAAATATATTCCCCTCTTCTTGAACTGAAATTAGTATGTCAGAGAAACTGCAGAAGTTGAAACACAATTTCTTAACACAACCCCAACACACGGGTCTCAGATGTACAATCTTAATGGACTGAACTTTCTATCTTTTGTCATATTATCTTGGATATCCATCTAACACACTTTTTTACCTGAGAAGTGGGAAAACAAACAGGAATTAAGAGGAATTGCAGAGCAGGGGCAGGTATGGTTGGTCTTCTGTTTGGTGTCTCCTGTAGTACTTCATGTACTTTCAGCTGGTCTCAGTGTGTGGGCCTTAAAGAAAGGATTTCAGAGGGATTAATTTTCTAGACATTTGTTGCTCATCTTCTCCATCAGTGAGACACAGGACTGGGTCAAGTCTGGTCTGAACCAGGTCCTGGTTTGACCAGTGGAAGATCAGGTGGAAGTTGACATTTTACTGTTTTTGTGAAGTTTGGGATTTTCTTTGCTTGTGATTTTGTTTATTTTCCCTTGTGAATATTGTCAGAGGAAATACATATTTTCAGTAATGGGTCATGCTTCCTTCTATGTTCACTATGCATTTGGGAATAGCAATCTTCATCTAAATGTCATGTCTTTCTTGGATTTGGTTATCTGAGATGTACTTTCTCTGTGGATGCACTGCTGTTTAAACTCACAGTCTTTAGGTTTTACTGGGTGGGATGCAGTACCATCTCACTGGAGAAGCCTCAGCTATGGAATTTGTTTCCTCTCTAATGTCAAGTGAACCCAAGTCCATTGACTTTGAAGACATGGTAAAAAGATTCTTTCTCTCTGCTTGCGGGGTTGTAGGAAGTTGGTTTGTTTGGATTATGATTGAGAGCTTTTTATTTGATACTTTTAAAATAATACAGTAGGTTGTCTTATACTGGGCATGTTTTTTACTTGAATGAGACTTTGTTGCACAGGATTACATCTTTTTGTACTTTTAATGGTTTTACAGAAACAAAAATCTTAACATCAATTTAGGCAGGCTGTGATTTGTGGTTTGTTTAATTCAAATGGAAGAACTAGAAAATCAGGGGGAAGGGTTGTAAACAATTAGAACAATTCATCCTTTTAGGTATGGCTGTACTGCTAAAGAAAGAGGTCCAGGAGAGAGTGGAAACAGTGGCTTGTTGACCACCAATGCTTCTCGGTTGTTAGTATGCTCCTTGTCATGATTTTGTGTGCATGTGAGGTTGGTTGGTTTGTTTCCAGTGCAAAATGAATGAAATAGCATGCAGCCTGTGTTGCAGGGAAGTACATCTCCATCACAAAACTTCCAGTTACTTGGGGTTTGGATCATATATATAGTGCAAAGACAGTTTGCAAACTGAACTTTAAAATAAATACTTGTCAGAAGGATTCTTCAGGATCCTTTTTTTTTTTTTTTTTTTTTTTTTAAAAAAGATTTTGGTTTTGGAAAATAGTTTCACTGACATAAAATGTGTTCCTCTCCTCAGAATAAAATATTGAAAATGTGAGATTCTTAGCACATGACTAGAAACTGATAATTATTTAAACCAGCTGCCTAGCTGCAATGTGTGAAAATATTTATTTCTGTGATTCACTAGCACATCAGAAAATACCCAACAGATAAGTGAAAATGTTGTGAATAAATAAAATGTGAGAAATACTTAATCATAGTGGGTGCATGGTGGTGATTTAAAAAAAAATAATCTGTATTAAAAATTATTTAATCTTTTATTAAAATCAGTGACTCAGTTTCTGTTACATCTGAAAGTTATAATTATAAGCTATCAAAAACCAAATACATGAATAGCACCTTTTTCCATGTATTTATCCACCAAACCTTTGCATCTGTTAAGTACAAGAAAAGAATGCTCTTGATCTCTGTTTTTCTGTAAAATTTCTGCAGGTCTCTAATTACAAACATCTGCCTGGAAGCAGGTGACTGTATTCAAGGGAAAAGAGATAGCTAACTATTTCAGCCATACTTCATACATTTCATGTCCATTCTGTTACTTTTCTGAAGAAGTAATATACAAAATTATGCTGTGTAATTTCAGCATGAAGAGTAAGAGCTACAATTTGACCAGGCATTGATTACTTGAAAAGTTAAGTCTCATTTCTGAGTTAGAATATTGAATGTTTAGCCAAAACTTTCCTCTCTTCTAGCCTCATTCTGACAGCAAATGTCCTCAGAAGGAAATAATGAGTTCTATCAAAAATTTAACAAGTGATTCATGACTGTATGAAAAATAATGCGATTTAGGTTTGCCAGTGAAGTCGTTCATTAAATTCACAGAATTTGTTGTCAGAGCAAACCAAGTCCTTCTTGATAACAGTCCATGGCAAGTTCTTTGACATCATTAAAGCTTTAATTAAAAACAGGTGGATTCTTCCCATGTAGTGTACCAGTCAGGGGAATGAAATGTAGATAACTTGTATTAATTATTAGAGAATAATTTTTTTTTCCTCACAGATCTTATTGGAATGCTAGGATTCTCTAAACCTGTGATTCTGAACAGAAAAAAAAACACATGTTTTAACTATAATACCCATGTTACTTTGTTTATAAAATCTGAATTTTAGTTGGCACTGTAGAGAAGAGAAGAGAAGGCCCTGAAAGAAACTTGATTTTTGAAATCTGATCTCCTTGTGAAAGTCTGGTATAAAGATTTGAAATGCTTCATTTAGAAACTCAAATTTACCTAGTAAAGCTCTATGATTTTTTTAAAATTTATTTTAAAATTTCTGGTGTCTGTTACATTTTTCAAGACTCATTGATCTTTTAAAAGAATAAAAGCAAATGACTAAATGAGATAGCAGTACTGTGTAATGTGAGCTGTGTTTACTGAGTGTTCCATTTATGAACTAAATGTTCTGCTTAATCTTTTGATTTATTACTAGTTAGATAGTTCTATTTAAGTTCTAGGAGTTTATTCTATGGCAATTGATGATACTGGTTTCAGCCTACACAGTTAGGGCCATACAGAAGGAAACCCAGATGTAGAGAGTAGGAGACCCGTGTGCTGCTGACTTGTGCTGCATTTTCATGGAGTTGCCAGCAAAGTTCAGACTGTCCTCTTTTTCTGGGCATAATGAATAGAAGACTGGAAAAACAAATTTGCACCATGAAAATTTTTCAAAGACAGAACTACTTACATCTAAGCCAGATGAAAGTTTTGAAGTGCGTGTGTCTGCAAATCAGGCTATGCAGAACAGTCCAAATATAATATTTATATCTAATGTCATTGTAATAGATCTCAAAGATGGTCTCTCAGCAACACAGCATATAACCAAATGACCCAATATGAAGTAGAATTTATGATGTTAGTCTTTCCAAGCCCAGCCAATTTTAATTT